AAAACATGGGGTTGGTCTTTGACCACATACATGTGAATCTACAAAAAGGGTGCTATTGTAGACACCAAGGAAATCAGTGGTGTGCAAAAAGGAACACCTCACAAATGTTACCATGGCAAAACAGGAAAAGCCTACAGTGTTACCCAGCATGCTGTTGGCATTGTAAAAAGTTAAGGGCAAGACACTTGCCAAGAGCATTAGTGTGAGTATTGAGCATATTAAACACTCAGAGAGTCAAGATAGCTTCCTGAAATATGTTGAGGAAAGTGAAGAGAAAGATATCTGCGTTCAACTGAAGTGCCAGCCCATCTGCCCAGAGAATCACACTTTGTGACACCCAGCGGGGAGGAGCCTGAGTTTTTGGAAACTGTTCCTGTGAATTCAGGGCATAAACTGGGGATGGAGCTCTTCCATTCAGCTGCCTAACCTAGTTAATTGTGTCTGGTCTTTACTCTTTAGCATTTTTCTTCATGAAAGATATTGCTGAGGTATTGTGCAGGTGTATACCAAATGTCCAAATATTTATGAAATAATTCTATTGGCTTGAAAATCCTGTAAATTACCATGGGGAAAAGATATGTCAAAATAATTACTTCAGTTAAATAAAGTCCATTTCAGTTAAATAAATTATTTAAAGCAAAAAGATATTTAAAACTCACAAATAAATGATAGAAGAAAAACTTTCTGATCAGTAATTAAATGTAAATGGATTATTCAATTAAAAAAAGAAAAAAGATTGTCAGAATGGCTGAAAAATATAATTCAGCAATATGATGTTTATGAGAGGCTAATTTTAAATCAAATAAGAAAATGAAAGCTTAAAAATGGAAAATTAAAAAATATATATTCTATGCAAATACTTATCAAATAGGGCAGAAATGGCCATATGATTTTCTGGTGAAGTGTTCTTTCTGGACCTCATTATCTTGTTTCTGATTTTAGAGGGAAAGCTTTTATTTCTTCCCCACTTATTATGATGTTGGCATTAAGTTTGCCATAAATAGCTTTTATTGAGATAATGTTCTTCTGTATCTATTTTCTTCAGTGTTTCTATCATGAATGGATATTGGATTTTGTCAAAGGCTTTTCCTTTGCCTATCACCATTAAAGAGATTGGCCTGTAGTTCAGTTTTTTGGTTGGCTCCTGTCTGGTTTTGGATTAGGTAATTTTACTTTCCAAGATGATTTTAGGTGTACTCCTTCCAATTTTTTATTTTTATTTACTTATTTTTAATGTATTTGGTTGTTATAGGGTCTCACTATGCAGCTTGGACTAATTTCCTGTTTTCAGCCTTGCCAGTGCTGGGATTACAGGTGCATTCCACTACAACCGGACTCTGTGGCCACCTCAGCCCGCCCTGGGGGCAGGGCTGGTGCGGCATGTGGTTCCAGGGATGGAACCACGGTCTCTGAGCTTGCCTAAACTTGCCTAAGCAGGCATTTTAGTTTGCTGAGCTATCTGGCCGGCCCATCCTTTCAATTTTATTCAAGAGCTTGAAAAGGCCGGCTAAATAGCTCAGCGGATTAAAGCGCCTGCAAGCAGGTGCAGGGCCCAGGGATCTTGCTGTGAGGCACACTGAGACAGCAATTCAGACTGGGCATGGTGGCATGCACCTATAATCTTAGCACTCAGGAAGCTGTAAACAGGAGAATCACCATGAGTCCAATCCAGTAGTGAGACCCTGAACATCTGTAGACCTTTCCCTAAAAATAAAAAAAATTAAAAAAAAAAAAAAAAAAAAAAAGAGCTTGAAGAGTATTGGGTGTCATATTTTCTCTGGAGTTTTTGTAGAATTCACCAGGCCTTGGACTTTTCTCTGTGGGTAATTATTAGTGCATGTATTTCATTTCCTATTACTGGATTATTCAGAGTTTTATATCTTCTTTGTTGTTTTTGTAATTTGCATGCATCAAGGAATCTATCCATTTCTTCTGAAGTCGCTAATTTATTAGAATACTAGTTTGTGAAATAATTGCTAATCTGAATTTTAGTGGTGTCTGATGTGGCTTCACCTTTTTCACTTATGCCGCTGAACTATATCCCTGGGCACCTTTTTCACTTCTAATTGTATTGATTTGGCTTTTTCTTTTTTTAAGATTGGCTAAGGTTTTTTGTTTTTTTTTTTT